AGCGCCATTACGTCATTGACTTCAACGCAGAAGAAACGCTCCCGCCGGAATATTCCTAAATACTCTTCCGAGTTTCGTTCTCGAAGAAACACTCGAATGAGTATAGAAAGGCTATCCACGGTCAGGCAGTTCCGGAAAAAATTAGGGCCGCCACACGGCCCGTTGTATTTGGGAAGTGCTTGACAAAATCGTTTATCTTCGCCAAAAGTTTAAATTTTTACAAATGTGAATTGCACATTTTGAAAAAAGTAATAAAATAATTTTGCTTACAGAGACGCGTCCGTATAAATGATTAACAATAACCCGGCAATTTCCATAATATAACTCTAATTAATGAAGCATTAATAAAATGCCTTCATCTAACAGTATAACCGAAACTGTTTCGGACATATTCAATGAATCGCAGTAGATACAGTACAATTATTTGTACTTGTTACGAATCTTTGATCCTGTTACGTAATCTACCTGATAAACAGTATTGTATTATTGTTATTGAATTGAATTTTTGTTATGATAGGGCTCACCAGTGGCGGGTTGGATAAAACCACTAAACACTGCTGGTTGGTCGCGAGTTCGCGCTCGCCAATGGACTGGCTACGTGGAATTTTCCGGGTTTCTTCACGATAGTAACAACCAAAATAGAGGCCAGTTTCCCCATAAAAGACCTTCCGAGAGGCATTCTCCTCGGCAGATCGCCATGTGTCGCGTTGCCGTAGGCCTACACCAATAAACCGAAACTTACCGTGATGGTTAATAAATATAGTTTTTGGTAACAGATTCCACACGTATTTAACTTGTAACAAATAACGCCGTTCTCACGACGAGTCCAACTTTTTCGGAAAATTTCCTATCTTCCTTTCCTTAATGGTGCTACGCCATACGCACTTGTAGTAGTCGTCATGCGCGTAAGATGACGATTATTATTTATTTAATGACGGAAAAATATCCATTATTTACGTCGGCAGTTTCTTAACCTCTTGAAATATTTAATGAGGATATGTGATGAAAACCCTATATAAATAATGCTAATGCATAGGCTATTTATGTTGAATATATTCCATTGAAAATATGGCGAACCCAACATCGCGTCGTTTCGTTTGTAAATGATAGAAATATAAAGACATTAAATAGGAATCTTGAATCTTGCTATTCGGGAACGAAACAAAACGTTACCAACATCCGGGACTTGGTTATTGTAATAATGAATTAGTCGGAATATAAATACCCGGAGGCTGTTATTCTAATCGAACACGCCAACCCAAGGTCGTCGCCTGGAGACTAAAGAATTATTATTGTTGGTAAACAAAAACTGACCAAAGATTTGGACTTTAAACGATACTCTTTTAACACCGAGAAAGAAACAACATAGACAGACCGATAAATCGCTCTTCGATTTATCCTACGAAACCGTCCACTTCGTAACTTAAAACAATCGACAATACAAAAACTTTAAAAATATTACGATTCAGTCCTCCACCACCGGATTATTTGAAAAATAATATCTATTTTCAGTTAGACAAATGCCACCAAGCCTAACTAACATTTTATCAAATGAAAAGACGACATCCGTCTTAATAACCCGAGATCATGCAAATTTTAAATCCCTCCTGTCTTATTATACGTGCATTTCTCTAAAATAAATTTACACAAAGACATAAGATGTGATCGATCAACGTTAAACTGCACTAAACATATACAGTCAGCACTAAATATTCAGATAACAATTGATAAAGTAAAAATTAAATTTATTTAAGCGATAAAACTCTTCTAAGAAAACTTTCGTATAAAATATAAAAACGAATTAACCTATATAAAAGTCGGAGGCCAATCGACCTTCCATTATTTCTCGAATTATCAAACTTAGAGATGATCGAATATCGCTTTCCGGAATTCGAATATTAACCAGATCGAGTATTTAGAATACTCTAATAGGCCTACCTCGAATATTTGGTGAACTTAATTACTACACCTTACAATAACTTATTTAGTTAATAATTTCATTTAATACTTATTAAACTTGTTTTATTTATTTCTATATATTAATAAATTACTAAAGAAAAATGAAAAAAAAACAATTTACTAAATTATAAGAAATGAAACTTTAAACTTTTTATTTTGACTTGAATCTTACAGTACTGCCTGTACTTTCTTTTTAATTTCATCATTAATTAATACTGTTATCTTAACTATTGATACAATAGATTAATCAATGATTATTCTCATTTTCACCAACTGCAGACTTTTAGTTAAGGGGGAAAAATATTCGAACACCTTCAGGATCTAGTTTGCTTCTTTTCCTGTCGCAAATTAAACGAGAGGTGCTGAACAGGCGCTGTCAATGACGCAATACTGTGGATATTCGTATTTATTTTTTCCAACGTTATATTCAAAATATCGAATACTCTAATACTATCTAATATTCGACTATTCGCGTATAGTATTCGCCTACCTCTAATCGAAATGTTTCTCGGAACCAAAGGGGGGAAAGCGATCCCTTCTATCGTCCTTCATTTTACCATTTAATCCGACAGAAATCTCTATTATTATCCGATTAGCGTCCATAATGATAAACCAGTCATATTTTTAATTAAAGTTGAAGGAACCGGAATCTTGTTAATGGGGTGGCGCGGGAAGAAGAGAATTAAACAAAAGCATTATTAAACGGCGAAAGAAACTTTTATACTGTTCAGAATGTTTATCCTTCCACGTGTTCATCCATAATGGCGTCATTATTACAATTACAATTATCGTGAGACGTATTCGGTATTCGGTCGCCACTCGTTAAAAAAAATGTCTACGTAACGATCCAATTCGACTAATTTGACGAGAGGTCCAACGCTTTTCCGAAATCGAACGGTATATGACGTTCGTCGGTCCTGCCTATCGCAGCATTTCACGTCTTTTCCAGACCAACAGTCTTTATCATCGTCAATTTTCAAAAGGACCCAAGGAAATATCCGAAAACTTGAATCTTACTTTAAAATATACAACTGAATTGTTTATAAAGACATGGCGTATCTATCCGGAAAAGTTCCTGAGCGATTGAAGGAAAGGAGTGTTAAAACGCTGTCTGATACCTAAATGTTTTACAGTTCTTTAACCCAAATTTTCAAAATTTTTAAATTTATTGCAAATAATTTATTCGGAAATATATTGGATTTGTTTATATATACATATAAGTTATAATAAATACTATAAAAATTATACAACCACGAATTTCAGAACGAGAATATTTTCTCCTTCCACAAAATACAAAACTCTATATGTAATAATGCTTTTTAATTATTCAAATAAAATAGGTCTACACTTCCGCCGTATTAGGGACTATCTTAGTATACATTATACATCATACGTTCCTATTAGATTATACGCAGTATAAAATGTATTACACAATTATAATCCTAACTAAATTGGAATAGGCGATATTTAGTTAAGCAGAATTTACTGTCAAATTAACAGATTGTTATTTCAGGTTCGTTCACGTAACAGGAAGTTTAAGATCAAATAAGAATCAAATCGATAACAGTATACAGTAGGTATGGCACGTGAAAAAAGTTTACCGCACCTTAAATCGTACGATTACATCCAGTATTTCAGAAAATATTGAATGCTTTTGTAGATATTACTTTTTTACCTAAAACTTCCTTTTATCAAATTAACCTAATTGAAAAAGTCGACGTAAATAATTTTAAGAAAGCGCGTTTTTCTAGAACAATACAAACTCGTTTATCGGCCGATACCATTTAAAGCGCATCAGTTTTTACAGAAGAGGATATGCTTTTACATCATTTCTACTTCGTTCTTATATTCTCCTAACGTAAAAACGTGAAAAAATCGGTATCAAATCGACGTAAAAGTGTACCGTACATTTTAATAAAACGAATACGCCATTAATCAAGCCCATCTCGTTCCAACATAATCGTCACCTAAGATATTTTATAGATAGAAGTTAAACTAAGCAGATTAGGCTAGGATAAAACGACTACGGAAAACACGGTTCTTTTCACAAAGAAGAACGTGGACGCGTCGAAGACACCTGTGCATCCCGGTTTGTAAAAGCAGGTGAATATTCTATATCGTCTCCATTAATTAGGTAGAGAAGATTCGCATCGCCGGTCGCTTAACAATACCTACCAATCAAATTAAAAGCCGATGCTCGGGCGAAAACGTTTCCTAAAAGTCATTCAGACGCGTTTAAAAAATGATTTGATGGCACGCGTGAATACGTCACACACTTATAATGAAATACCTATACGATAGTCGGCATTAAATACGAATTTCCCGTTAAGCCGAAAATGTATTCTTGGCGTCTACGTCACCGACGATCGAGACGATCTCGATTTCTGCCGGATGAGAACGAGAGCGACGTCGTAACAAAAGTAAAGGCGGAGGCGCGGCGCATCGTTCTGTCAAACAACAAAAGGAATAACGGGACGGAAATCGGTGAAAGAAGGGAGTGGTGTCGTTTAAGTGTCTCGAATAATAGAAAAGAAAACAATTTAAATATCCGCACGAAAGACGATAAGTAGTGGCGGGCGATTAATTGGACGTCCCGGGGAGACAGGAAACTGGACGGAACCGTTCCCACCAACGCGACGCGGCACCGGACGAATCGGGGTTAATGAAAAGATAAAAGAAGGTGAGAGAGTCGGGTCACGCACGAAAGGGCGCGTTCCACCTGCCAGAATAGCGACAATGACCCTCCGCCCGGGGGAGCCGCGGCCGCTTAATTATCGGAAACCTCGTATCCAATGGGTAACGGTGCGGATCCAGGACGGCGGGACGGCTCTGAGAACGCCTCTTCTCTCACGCGGTCGGCGACGTCTTCGCGCGATTCTCTATTTGTCCGTCGCGTCCTCCCGTAGAGACGGGAGGGACTCTTCCTTCCCTTTCCTCGTCTCTTTTCTCCAATGCGCTTCCGGCATTTCCAACCGAGCGACGGGCGTCTCCGGACACCAAACTTCCCGATTTTCGAGAGACAAAATAACAAAAATACATACCGACGGCCGAAAGAGAGGAGAAAAACCCTGGATTCTCAGGTTCCAACGACGATTTTCAACCTTCCGTAAAAACTACGACCTCCGTTCAAGCGCTGGTCACTCCGCCGTTCGGAAGTTTCCAGAAAATGAAGAAATTAACGTTTTGAGCCTAGACTAAATATGGCTGGACACTTATAACGAATTATTTAAATTTCGTTCTTAATTATTATTATTATTATTTTAAATTAAGTAATCGGAGACGAAATTGGATCAAGTCCGGCAGATGGCTCTGCAAAAATCGCATTCTTCTCGAACGACGTCGCCACATTTTTTCTCCTCAATTTCATCCGACGAGATTCCCGGGGGGAGCCAAAAAGTAGCCGCTGTCGCAGTGGCTCTGCCCTATTTTTTAATTTCGGAAATCTACTTTTAAAATGAGTTAAGAAAGTTAAAGCCTCAAAAAAAAAAAAAAAAAAAAAAAATGGCGTTCGAAAGTAAACGGGCCAATGTTTACTTTCGAAACATGTCTTCGAAAGTAACGAAGCGGCCGAAGAGTCGAAGAAGCGAAGATCGAAAAGAGGAGAAGGAGGAGGCTGTTGCCTGTTTTATCTAAAAAATAATAATATCATGTTTTATATAATTTTATTAGGCCTATTTGTTTTGAATCTACAACACACGGCGTCATGGCATAGCTTCTTTCTGGTGCCCAAATGTTAATGATTAAAAAACGAAAGAACATAAATATTTACAAATAAGTGTCTAGATCATATTATACAATAATTGAGGATTGTAACTTTTACGTCATAGCATTTTAGTCAATTAATAACTATTTTGTTCTTTATTTCTAAACAGGTGTTCTATATTATTACATAAGAGCTTAATCACGATAGAACATTATTCATCTTACGTTCGCTATTTATTACGGAGTAATCAGAAGAGGTAACGAGCAATTATTTATAGTGACATCATCACAATGCCGAGGTGCAATTTTTTTATCATTTAATTTTAAAAATCACATAACTTCTGATTCGAACCGAAAGTTCGTATATAGTTAATCGGAGTCTCCGGCTCTTTTCATATCCGGTCTCCATTTTCATCTAACTCCGTTCTCCATATGAACGAATGACAATTGGACAGACAACGGACGGCAGTAGGAATATATAGACCTGTAATTTAAAAATTGCAGCCCAATAAGTAACCTATATCATCAGCGACATACAATGTAACTTACATTGTATGTCGATGTTCGGTTCGAAGAATGCCATTGATATATAAATCAAATATAATAGATATGAAATAAATAACAGATGAATAGAAAATAAATACTGGAGAGAAGGGTGATCTCTCGGCCTTTTCCATCCAAAACAGAGACGCCGGGTTCGAATTTCCTCCAAAGAGCGCAGTAGGAAGAAAACGAAGGAAAAGTCTTAAAATGCAGTGGAAAAAATTCTCGGTCAAATCTGGTTTTGAGATTTCTCATCGAATTTACGCTGCGTAATCGAAATGGGTAGGGAAAAATTATAATAATTTACTTTCTGATCGGATTCTTTCTTTCATTTTCCTTTCCGTCTAGCGCGCTGCATTATCCTGCCATTATTGAAGTACTGTAATGTAGTTTGAACAATTGATACGGAAGTTATGGATTCACTATCATATAAATAAAATATTAACCATATAAATTATTTGAGTTCTAAATTTGCTTGGTTTTCATAGTTAACATTAGAAGTATAAAACGTTATTTAACAATTGATATCTATTTTTAAAAAAATTGTATATAACTAACATACGGTAAAAAATGAAATATAGGCCTACATTCAAATTTTGGAGAGCCGCATCCAAATATTTACTAAATAGATTGAAAATTATGTTAAACATATTTATGCGTTTAATTCTAGGTTTAAGATATGAAGATAGTTTTTCTCACAATTTCAATATTTTACAGATAATTCATTTACTGTAAGTAAAAATCTATACTGCTGTTCTTTCACAAATTTATACATAACCGTTGCTCTGATGCTTCCGGTAGAATACATAGTTCTATGTATTGTATAGACGGAATAGCCAGAAAAAGAAATTAAAATTCGGTAGATCATACATTTTATCTTGACTAGATATATTAATAAGTTATAGGTTGACAAGACACTGAATTTTTTATAAAAGTATAAAACTCTGAAAATTTTTATTTACTGATTTTTGTTATTGAAAATAGCGTTATATTTAATTGCTTTTTAAAAAAATTTCAACTAATCATTTATTTCATATGTTTAAATTAACCTTTTATATTATTACTGATTTTTAGATTGGCAGCTGTCTTAATTTAGTGTGTGTGTGTGTTTGTGTGTTTGTTTGTTTGTTTGTGTTTGTGTTTGTGTGTTTGTGTTTTATTGTCTGTTTTGTCGTATTTTTGTACGATAGAGTTAAAAATTTGTTGCCACGCTCTGCCTATCAATTTAAATTATTATCGTAAATTATTCACTCCTCCAAATAGGAAAAACGACTCCGATAACCGTCTAAAGAAGATCAGACTCGTGAGATCTTCCGTTCGTTTATTCGTGACACAAGAACCATATAGGCTAAGCTGTGCCATGAGATCTACTCTCGCATAAACTGTCATTCAAAATTAACTTCGATCCATTCTTATCTCTATTATTTTCACCGACACAATCTTGCCAATAATTCTCACTATAATAAGTCTTGTCACTCTTCGCTCTTTTATATAATTATCCGGAAATATTTTATCCAAAACCTCTATCCAGTCCATCTTTTCTTCAATCGGGATTTCCATCCATCTCCTTTAAAAGGAAGGCCCCTTTTTCGTTAGCACCTTTCCCCTTTCGAAATTATTTAAAAAGAGGTCAGCAGCGACTATCCCCGTCGATCTTTACACAGGACATTCGGATAGAGACACAGAGGAGGAAAGCTGATGGTGGAATCTGTTTTTGGACTTCCTCAAAGCGAAGAAAAAGTTTACAATAGAAAGAAGTTTTGAAAATGAGGCGGAAAGGAAATCGATCGTCGAATTTTTTTCCGACTTTTAGAGCGATTAAAATGCAAATCATGATGGTTCTCGAACTGTGAGACGCAAATAAAGTTTATGATTTCGACGCCAGTCGACATCATCAAAATTTGATTTCATTTAGCAATATCTTCGTATTCTGTTTTACTATTGTTTCGTTCGAAATATAATTATGTACTACAGTAAGAAAATTTTACTTGTAGTTTTACTAGAATAAAATAGATTTTTAAAAAACTATATTGTCAATATGCTTATCCGGAACTGTAGGGGACGCAAGAATTTTTACAAAAACAGGGTTTGTTTCTTTAAAATCACCGCTAATCAAGGGAGAAAATCCAATATTTTAAAAGTAAGAAAAGAAACGGAAAGATAGTGTGATCAGAAATAATTTATTTGCTGGACAATTATCACTTTAGCCGTAAGTGGTCAGGCGGAGCGGTATCGTCCATGTAAATAGGCTACCGACTGATACCACTAGCCAATCACTTTATTTGGCGTTGATTAAAGAGAGCCGGAGCGGACGATCCAGTTAATCCCAGAGTTCGACGGAGAATTGGAGAATTTTCTATTGACCGATCGAAGCTTCTGTCCAAACTTATGGCTGTTAAGGAAGTCAAAGTGTACCTCTCTCGTTATAAAAATTCCTTACGCGTTTGATTAGACAGTCCAACGTTTAATTACAGTTTCAACTTTATTGTATGGCGTCCCTTTCGTTGCTTCAGTCATCCCACTTACGAAAGTTTTAGATAAACTGATTTTAAATGGTGTCGACACAAAATCATTCGATTCTTTGCCGAATAATCCATTGACGTCCGGGTTTACGCATTTATTTCGGACCTTCTAAACGATAGCCTCTCCTACGCTTTTTTTTTTTTTCTTTTTCAAACGTTGCGTCTATCTGTAATTCTTAAACATCATAAGTACTGTTTTAAATAATCGTAATTTCGATCTAAAATGGTAACTAATTCTTATTTCTTACATGTAGCCTGTATTCATAGACTATAGCATATAACTCACATATATATATCCTATAGCCCAGTGTTTTTCAACCTTCTTGAATACGCGACCCCTTTACAAGTTAAAAAATTCTGGCGACCCCCAGGACCGTATTAAAACTATATCAATGATTTTAAAAACTACGTATTTAATTTTCTTTCTGTTGAGACCTAAATATCGATCAAAAACCAATTGTACTGTAAAATAAACAGGCACAGCCTTCTCACTAAAATTGTAGTTTTTTTATTGTAGTGTAGGACCTACAAACACTTGTCTTTTTCTTTTACCCGCGACCCCCATGTAAGGCTTTGCATTGAAAAACACTGCTACAGCCTATGTGTATGAGTGAACAAAGATTTGTATTTGTGTTATAATAAAGGGTTAGACTAGATAGGATATATTTAGGTATAAATTCGATATAATGAGGGAGTTGATATTCATCACTTGAACGGAAAAGGAGCAAAAAGCAATTAAATTAAATTTTCGTTTATTTATCATTAGGTAAGAGAAGGGACTTTAAAATCTCCTCTCTTACAGAACATTACATTATTAAAATATTTTGATGGCTATCTACAGTATATATGTCTAACTTAGTTAATATTTAAAGAAGTAATGAGTAACCCTTTCTTGATGCTGGCAGCAAGTGATCTTTGTAGGCTTCCGGCGAGACCACGCATTTTTCGTACAAAGTTGTCAACATTGATAGTCGGGGGGATTTAAACCTTCCGAGTACCAATATACTCCATCACCTCATGTACAGTACGGTACACTAGGTTTTAAAATAATATTTGCTAATGATTTGCAAACTAATAATAGGCCTATATAGTTTATGCTCATCTTTTCACTGCTCAAGTTTAGTTTGAACTAAACTGAACGTCACTAATCATTATCTTAGAGTTCAATAGTAGCACAAGACAAAACAAGGAAATAAAATACGTTGACAAAGCCTCAGGTCACAAATTAAGACTTCGCAGGGCCCGAGTTGCTCATGACTGATTTAAAATGACGATAAGTAATAACAAAACCCACTACATTAATACGCAAATACACAATAATTTTTAAATAAAAATATTTATTTAAAAATTATAAAATCGAGATATTCTTCAGAATTGAATTTTTATTAATAATCTGTAATGCGCCAAATGTATAAGACGACAATTTTTAGACCATCTTGAAGCCCTTCGGAAAGATCCTGAGCTTACCAGGGTCACGCCTTCCTTCTCCCGCCGGCGCTCTTCGGCCACGCTCGACAGTATGCTCCACGTGCCAACCGTCTGTGTGGCCAGGTGAAGGTTAGATTACGCCTCGGATCCCCATCGATCCGGATCAGTAGCGTAACTATAACTGATGTTGGAGAGCCGAATTGGAACGTGCAAAGTTACATTGACTCCTTGTACCACTGTAGATATAGCCACTTGCGCCGTAGTGAAGAGCAAATTCAAAGATTTTGTATAAATTGTACACGTGTATAAGTACTTTTGTCACATTCAAATCTTTACCTGTAAATATTTGCAAAAGTAAGGAGGATCCGGTCCCTTCGACCTTCTTGTTTACGGTATTGATCCGGATAATCTTGTTTATCTTGTCCGGCCTGGTTAAGGGTTATGCACGTAATTATGTTTTTTAACAAAACCAAAAAATTTCGTCCGACTTCCGTTTTGTTTCACCGACGAACGAAATGTCGGGAACGAAATTGCATAAAGCTTCGAAGGAAAAATTCCCGGTTTGAAAAAACTTTGAAGTCGCGCCGTTGAAAAACGTTTCGTCCGCCGAAGTACAAAGTCGCGCGGAGACAATTTCGTACCTTTAGACAAAGTCGGCAAAACTCGCCGAGCGTATCCGCGCAAAGTGCCATTATTACGTAGTTTTTGTATTCTTAACATTTTTTCATTCATTTTACGAAATAGAAATTTCCAGCAACTTCGTTCACTAGTTTTTAGGCAAAACTCCTTGGGAAACGTTTCCATATACGAACGACCTCGTTCTCGATTCGGTCGTCGTGAGCTGCGCGCGGTGACACGTCTTTATAAAAGAGTCCGGCACGAGGCCGAAAACAGACGAGAAATATCCATTGAGGAAACCTTTCTTTCCGAAATGCAAAGTTTTCCTCGATGCCCGTCTTCTGCTTCGGCGTTCCAATAAAATTTTCGGCGATTTTCGGTTCGACTTTCTCTTCCTTTCATCTGTTGTCCGTCGGGACGTCGTTTTTTCTCGTTGCTTCTCTGATAATTCCTCGTCACTTACTTACCATCGATTTCCACTATCCGGAAGATCGTCCTTCCGCTCCGCAGACCGCGCTTCCTACTTCGCCGAGGCGCAGCAGATCGAGATGAAAACCGGAAAGATCGGAAGCCGTTCGACGAGAAGCCAGCGGCGCGCCGCCGTGGCGGAGCCGGACGCGCCGAAGGCCGTCGACCAATAAGAGGCGGCCGAGCCAGAGGAGCGACGGGATTGGAGGAAGCTAATATGACGCCGAGTGGAACGGCGGAGGTCTGAGGAGAGGCAATTGGGAAGGAAGAGGTCGGACGGGACGGAGCGAATGGAGTCGGCGGAACTTCTGTGTAACGAGAAGATTCTTCCCTCTTGGAACGATTCGTCGCCCACTAGAGCGGCTCCGGATCCAGCGCTGCAGAGAGACGGCCGAGTATTAGAGAGGCTTTTGTCATTGGAAACGAAGCACGTGACTGGTCGGCGTCGTTTGTTGTCTTCGCAGGTGGAGATAGACGCTGGAATGAGAAAGATCGTGGCTCGTTGGATGTCCGAGGTCAGTCTTTTCTCGTTTAGACAAAGCCCCACGCGCCTCCTCTTTTTTCTCTCCTCGACGTGTACGTGTACGCGTCTGCCGATGTAGATGTACAAAGCGGTCTCGCCGGTCTCCTTTTTGTTTTTCCTTCCGCCGTCGTACTTCGCTGCTGGACCTCCTCGTCCGCCGCGCGTTCCGCGCCGCGCCGCACCCTCCGCCTTTAAATCCACGGCATTCAGAGATCTAAAGCAACGGCACGGCGTTTCCGAGCGAGTGACTAAACATCGGTACGTCGGCTCTTCGTCTCTTCTAAGCAACGGCCTCTTTCTAGTCGGCCGCGTGTCGGCGCTTCTCTACCGCGCGGACGGGAGTAACAGATCGACTACGATCTAAGAAGGTTGATTTGTCTTATCGTTCAGGTGTGCGATGAGAGATGCTGCGAAGATGTTGTTTTTCCGTTGGCCATGAATTACCTGGACAGGTTTTTGTCGATCGTCACCATCCGCAAGTCTCAGCTGCAGCTGGTGGGAGCTGTCTGCTTACTCATCGCCTCAAAACTGAGGCAAAGTTTGCCCTTCACCTCCGAGTTATTGGTCTACTATACCGACTACAGCGTCGGCGTCGATGAGATCAGAGTGAGTTTCTTTCCTCTTCGTCTCTTGTTGTCTGTCGCTCCAGTCGCGTTCTGATGCCTTTTTTTGTGTCTTTCAGGCCTGGGAGCTGCTGATACTGACTACGCTCAAGTGGGACGTGGCACCGGTGGTGGCCACCGACTTCGTCGATCATCTGTTGATCCGTCTTCCGGTCGACAAAAACCGCGCCACCGTCAGGAGACACGCCAACACTTTCATCGCCCTATGTTCCATCGGTGAGTTCCTCGCGCCGTCCGTCGCCAACCGGGGGCGGCCGCGCCCGCGTCCCTCTTCCGGCCGCCGGCTGGGGTGTCGGACAGCGGCAGATGCGCCGCCAGATGTCGCGGGGGGAAGGGGGAACCGACGGCACGCGCCACGCGGTGGCCCGGTGCCGGCTAAGAGGACGTCAGCCGCTCCTCCTTCCGAGGGGAAGGGACGGAAGACGATGACTTTTCCGAAAGCCTCCGATCGCCACGCGACTCCTGCCGTCTCTTCCAGACTGACGGAAAGAAGCATAAGATTCCAGCTCTCGGAGACGGGATTTCCAGCTTCTTTTCGTCGGCGGAAGTCTCTTTACCGCTTCCGTTGGCTACCCCTTCCGAGATGTTTCCGGTTCCGGTGGATCGGCGTCGTTTCGGGGGGTCGATCTCGGGATGGGGGAGGCCATCGACTCGGTCGCGTGCCATCTGCGCGGTCCCGTACGGACACGGACATCTGTTCGATTGCGCCATCTGCTCCGTCGGTCGGGTCCATTGGGAGGAAACGACCCCCCAACAGCCGTAACTTATCGGTCGACCGGCGTCCGTCAGATTATCTTCGTTGTTCGAAACGATGTTTGGTCGGGGGAGAAGAGAAACTGACAAATTATCGAACGCCACCGCGCTTCTCTCACATTCCGAAACGCTTTATTTCCTGCGTACGGGACTTCGGTCTCTTAACAATATAATTACATCAGCGGGAGAGAGAATTTAAAAAAAAAATTTCGGGAAAAGACTTTCCGTTCGGAAATCGTGTAAAGGAAATAAGTTTTTATTTTCGAGTTTTTGAACGGAGAAAATGCGTAATTTCCCAACGCGACGCGTCTTTTTTTCGGCACTTTCACTGTCCACTTTTGGCACGAATAAATGGAAAAAAAATCTTCGGGAAACGGCCACAAGGATTCGGACGCGAATAAGCGCGTTATCTCGATGTTAACGGGCAGATGACGAAAAAAAAGGCAGGAAGCCGGCCAAGGAGGCCTTTTAAAAATGGCCGACGGCAGCTGGCGCGGGAAGTCATCCATTGTTCGCTCCCTCCCTTTCTCTCCGACTTCCGTCGTTCGACTCGTTCCCGACGCCGTTTGTTCTCTGGCGCGTCGCGCGCCACGCGCCGAACGCGCACAGGCTGACCGTCTTCTTTCTCTTTCAGACGACCAATTCGCCTCCTATCCTCCGTCACTGATCGCCACGGCCAGCGTGGCGGCTGCGGCCGACGGACTGGAGGGGATGGACAAACCTTGGAACGATTTGGACGAGTTACTCTCACTACTCCAACAGATTACCGGGATCGAAGCGGTAAGTCTCTTTCTCTCCGCTACTCCAGCGACCTTCTGCTTCTCTTTCCTCTAGCATCTTTCTTTCTTAGCTCTCAATTACTGTTGTATTCCAGTTATTTTAGGCGTTATCACGCAAAGAGACTTGAACCCATTATTTTATTATAAAACTATCCAATGTAATATAATTGAGAACTAATTAATGAAAAAAAGAGGAATATGAAGCCAGTCGGTAGACATATAGTAATCTTTTTCTTCGCTTTCAGGCATCGGTGGGATGCGTCGTGCACAGGATCGAGCGGGCTGTCCGCTCCGAAATGGCGGCGGCTCTGGAGTCGGATCCGACGCCTCCGGACGGAGGAGGAAAAACCCGCGGAAAAGAAGTGGAGGAAAGATCTGAGACTCCAGTCGAAACGCATCTGCGAGGAGCGTCCTTCTAAGTCTTGGAGCATTACACTGTAAATAAGAAAGAGGAAACAATCTTCCCATGTAAATAGTATTTATGATCTTTTCCTTCGTCTTCCAATAAAAGCCCGTCGCTTTTCTTAATCCGGTGTTTGGTCTTCTTAATATTCTCTTTTCTCCAAAAGCGTCGCCGGTGAGCGACGGACGAGCGTCGAAGGGTTTACCACGACAATGGCGATAATAGCACTTAAAGGTGGTTTCACGTTAGCCGGCGATTTGTCAGAAAAATATTGCCATAACTACTATTAATTCGTTCTGGCTGATACTGATCGGACGAGTAACCGAAGTAAAGCCACGTGGAAAGATAAGTTAATCTCGATCCAAAATCGTTACGGAATTTCCGCTATCATTAAATACACTCACAAACGCGCAAAAGAAAGCAGCCAAAGACGAGAAGTCTGTGCCACAATCGGTTATTTCTCTTATTAAAATGTACGAAATTAATTACGTACAGTATCTATCATCGAGTAAAGAATAATGAATTGTGGAATGTTTCATTTTCCGAATAATTCTAAGCGGGATGAACAGATGTTTCTTTTCGCTTGCATGTAATATCAATAATATTTAAAATGTAATGATTTACATCTTAAGAGTTGGACCAATCGCCACATCGGTTATCAACTTCGCCCAGCCGCTATTGTTATACAGTCAACTTTATTACGTTTATACGTCTATTTGTGGTACAAGACCTGCGTGAAGATTTTTAAAAAGTGGTGGAGGTTTTAAAAAAGCACAATATTTTTTATTACTTAGTTTATTAACTTTTACAATATACGTATATAGAAAAACAATACAATAGACTAACGAGAAACTGAACGGGTACAAAATAAATTTAATGGTTATCAAGCTTATATATTGGCTTCTACTGGTAGTCTGAGGACTTATCACACCTTTTGCAGAATAAGTCCTCAGAGTAGAAGCCAATAAATAAACTTGACAACCATTACATTTCAATAGGACAATAAGCAATTTTTTTTTACAAAATAAACGTTTAATTAACAGTATTAACATAGTATATTAACAATGTTTTATTAACATTGACAATTCAAATAAAAAATGTTACTAAGAGGGAGGGTTTAAACTTTCATACCTCCCGTGTACACAGCCTTGAGGCAACATTTATGGTTACTTTATTTTTCTCTGGCAATTACTGATTCGCTATTTATTTCGTTGGACAAATCGCCGTCAAATTCCACGTAAAATAGTCCTTAAAGTTAAGCGGTAAAACTGATGGCTTCTGTTCCGGTTGGAGACGAAAAGAGCCACTTTTCTAGAAATCAAACCTTGTTCAGAAGGGCGCGTCCTTTCGAAGGTGGAAGGAAGTCGGGCGGAATCTCGATTATCCGCGGAAAGAAAAGCACGAGAGCGAAAATCGGCGAAATAAATAGTGCGTGTCTAATTATAATCATTATAGTCCGGTAAGGACGATTTTGAGGGTCGAAACGTTAGAGCCCACCAACGCCCGAGTGGATAAAACCATTGAACATTGGTCACGGGTTCGCGTCGTCAACAGACTGGTTACGTGAAGTTTTCCAAATTTTCTTTAAGTTAGTAACACCTAAAAGGGGCCAGTTTCCCATTGAAAATTAATCCTCTCTCGGCAGATCGTCAACGTTTTGCTACAAACAAATAAACCAAAACGTTAGAAACGGCAAAAGTGAGAATTGATGCGGATACAGACCGATTAGCCAAGAGACAAGGAACAAACGATTCTACGGTCCGATTGATGTTCGAAAGGCAGAAAATTACTTTTCGTCTTCTAACGATTTCTATGCAAAGGCAGGACTAAATCCTAAAATCTTATTAGAAAAATGTCTGCAAGATAAACAAAATTCAACTCGAATAGTGAAAAGGAAAGCGACTGGGAAGAAGCCTTGCAGTCTCAGTCATCCTTTCCCGTTACTAACGGAATCGAAATGGAAAGCGTCGAACCGAGCCTCGGGCGAGGCACCCCTTCCTTGCATTGCCGACGGAGAGAATACCTCTTCCCTTTTAACTTTACTCTTTTGTGGCAGGCTGTCTAATTAAAACTTTCCAACCCTCACAGTTCTCCGTTTTACAAAAAAGTGGAACGAAGCGAAACAACAGACAGAAAAAGACTTCCGACTTCATCTCTATTGCCGCTGCGCCATAGACACGCGCCGAAAGAGCAAATGTCTGGACCCCCGAGCGGGCATTAATGTAGATTTCTTCCGCACCGTGGCGCATATGCAACGTCAGCTTTTTCGCCCGATTCGAAGATTAAACCAAGGTTTAATCTTCGGATCGGGAGAGTTTATCGACAGAGGATTATAATTGTTTATCATACTGTCAACATCGAGGAACTCGTTATACGTTAAATAAAATGGAATGTAGCGAGTGTGGTATAAAATATAAACAAAGTTTAAACAGGCATATTAAGGCAAGCTAGCACAACAGCAGTGAGACAAATATAAATTAAGTGCAGGTTGTCTTTACCTACGTATCACAAAAAGAACAGTTTTTTAATATTGATGTCCCCAATATCGGTACATATTGTTCCATCAGAAATATACGTAGCATATATAATTTGGGGTATATGTATAATATATTATTTATCTTTTCGGCTATAAAAATATCATTTTAATTGAATTCTAAATAGCAAACAAATTGGACGGGACCCTTTAAATGACATAAAAATTACGACAAAGCATAAATACTCGTACATTGATTAATTATTAATTCATAAAAAATGAAGTGGAAAGAAGAACGACAAGGAAGACGAAACTTGTTATGAACGGAAAGATGGACGAAGGTCGGTTTAGTTCAAATGTCGAGTTGCGAAGATTTGCTAGCCGCTTCGAGGGGTGGGAAACACGTTCGATATTCTTGCTTTTATAATACCATTTATGATTTAAGAGACTAATAAAAATCGATGTAGGATTTTGTTAGCCTTATAGTTATCAAGTAGGTGTAATTTTTCGAACCTTTTTGTTCTATTTTTCCAATTCATTTCATTTTCATTTTCATAATACCTTTATTTACAAAGACCTCTGTCCCGCAGAGGTTAAAATACAACTATAAATGAGATAATAAGACAAAAGGGTTATATAATTAGTAATACATACACACAGTTATAAAATAGAAAATATATACAGTAATCATCGCAGTGCACTATATTCACAACTGGTACAATACAATGCTACTAGCAAAATAAAATATACATACACAGGAGATGTAGATTTACCAAAATAATGAGCGCGGTGAATTGTAAAATAAAACATAAGAATTAACAGGTGAAGTACAGTACATGACAAGACACATAATATACTACATAACCTAGGAGTGTAAGATAAAACGTAGAAATACAATAATAATCTTCCGAATTAATTAGTGGAGTGACATTAGAACAAAGATTATCACACATGGCTAGCGATAAGACAGAATAAACGTATACAAATATAGACGAAGGTATGGTGCTACTAATATATATATATACTTTTGACAATGTAATGAAGCAAGAAACCACACTTTTATAGAGGCCTTCTATTATTGCCCATACACTTAAAATAATCTTTGATGAAGCTTTTGAGCTCCTGAAACAAAGTGGCATTCCTTATCAATTCATGTAGAGGGCAGGGCCAGTGTATGCCAGCCACATCAGTAAGAAGTTGGAGCTTCAGCCTATTGCTTTCAGTCACTGGACACTGGTAGATGTAGTGCAGCGGCCCATCCTCCATAATGCAAATGGTGCAGCTACCTTCTTCTTGAATTTTGAATCTTCGCAGGTAGCCGGCAAACGACCCATGTCCAGTCAGAGAGTGGGCTTCCTCATGGGTGAAGAAACCTCTATTTTGGCCTATGTTGTCGTAGATACTTGGAAACAAAAAGGGGGTAGTTGCATCTGTGTTTTCGTTGTTCCAGCTGTGTTCCCAAGTGCGGTTACACTCTCTCCTGAAAATAGCTCTAGCACTATTCTTTGTTATTGCATTATGAGCATAAATAGCTTTACTGTCCTTTATTTTTACCAATAAATGATTAATAAAAAAAAATTAAACCTAAGCCACACAGCTGTTAAGATAAATGCCAGATTACCGAATATCCTGCCCTTTAAATTGGCAGGCAAATCTTCCTTTAAACGCTGTTGTCGTTAAACGTTTTAAGTTTCTTTTTCGTTATTACTGTTCTTGTTCTGTTCGTGTACTACGGTTCTTGTCGAATGAATGAATAACTCGGGAAAATAACATTTTACCGTCGGCATGGAAATATATAATCAGAAAGAACTCGTAAGAGGATACATCCACCAGGCTCGAAAAACCTGAGTTACTATAAAAAATGTTTACATATTGTATTATGGGGAATTACCGTATTTTGTATTTCATTTTATTTTATTTTTCTTGTTTATTGTATTAATTTCGTTATGCTTGTTTGCTTAATCTTATTTCAACATGTTCTAATATAATTTAAATGTAAACGTGTTCGAAAAGCCATTGATCCGAACGTCTTTAACCTGATGATGGCCCATGAAATGGGTTGAAAACGTTTGTTTAGCTGAATAAATGTGCTTTCTCAGTAGTAAAGCGTGTTGACTTTATAATGTTAAAGAATCTGAGTGTGAATAGGAGAGTAATTCGGGAAAAGTTTGTGGATTTTTGGTATCGTAGGCTTAATTCCAACAATAAGATGGGCTGCAATTTTTAATTTATTTCATTTAAAATATATGCTCTCCACTTCAAATTAGTAGTGGTTGCCCCTGTACATCATACTTTTCCTTTAACAACATAGTCATGCCATCATACACCTAACACCTTTCGGGGGATAAATTTTGAATTAAAATAATAACATTACTTCCGGTTTTCATCGGAGTTCGTATATAGTTAATCGGGGCCTCCTGTCCCTAAGGTTTCCATATGTGGTCTCGTCTTTTATCTATCTAACTCTGTTCTCGAGAATAAGAAAATACAGACGGACGGACGACAGTAGGAATTTATAGTTGTACAATTTTTTCAAATTGCATCCCAATAATAATAATATGTATGATAACAGGTGATGATTGACAACTTAACCACATTAGTCTTCTTCTAATAGATAAAGAATATTGTTCGGCTTTT